TGGGTTCAAACAGCTTACCTTTTGGTTAGCATCTGAGTGCTTAACCACTGCGCCACCCGGGCTCCCTAAAGGCAGCTAAGGTGAGGAAAAAGGAAATTAGTTCTCAGCACTCCCTCTGATGGTCTGAGTGGACCCAAAAGATACAAACATCACTGTACACTCCAGACTTCCCTGGAATCCTTTCTCAGCCCAAGCATAGGTCCCTAAGCGTTCCCAAGAGCTAACCAGAGAATAAGGTGAAAAAGGTACACTGCAGAATATTTTCTAAGAATACCAAGGACAGTTGTGCACTTGTTAAAGCACATGCTTTGACATTAGACACATCAAGGGTTAGTGTTCTGGTTCTACTACTTATGAGGTCTTTGACCTTGGACAAGCCTGGGTCTCCCATCATCATCCCAGGATGTTATACTAAGTGAAATAATATAGCTGAAACACTGTGCACAGTACTCAATAATAGCAGGTATTATGAAATGAAAGGCAAATGGTGATACATAGAATTTTAAACAGTAAAAGATAATCAAAATGTGTGAGAAAATGGATCAAATTCCCATAAAACAAATGCAATGGGCTTTCAAACACAAAAGCACCTCTGTATATTTGTAAAAGATGGCCTACTATCAATTTAATCAAAATATAAGAAATTCACTTTTAGGAAAATAATTTTTTGCATTCTAAAATTTGATAAGTTATAAAGTGGAGATAGTTACATGCAATACAACTAGCAAATGAGATGCAAAGCTATCAGTTACCACTAGGTGCTGCTCTAGAATTGAGTTTTCCTTGCTTTTATTCCAAATCCGGACACCTACATCCCCATCAAGCTTCTCAACCCGTTTGTCTGCTTTTTCTTTCAAAGGAGAAAAACTGAAAAAAGACACATAATGAGGCGCAATTAATTACTTTTGTGTGTGGCCTTTCTAGCCATGGTCCTGTGACTCCCACAGAGATGACTGGGTGGGGCTGTGCAAATAAGGTAATTGTGGCCCACAGAGGGGATTGGTCAGTTTTGCCTTAAAAAAGAGCCAATTTCAGAGCAGAGAGGAGAGTCCACCACAACCAAAGAAGGAGAGTCCCACAGGAGCCTGCACAGCGGGCTTCCCGGCCCACGGAGCGAGAGAGCTGAGTGCCCTCTGGGCAGAGACTGAGGGCCAGGGAGAAGTCTACGCCTGACCCACGAATTTGGGACTTGTCAGCCTCTCCAACCGCACGAACCATTTCCTTTATATGGTTCATGAGTTCTGTGAGACACTGCAGCGAATTAGGGACTCCAAAGACAGAAGGGAGAGTACTGAGGTGAGAGGGAGCAGACGATGTTAAGAGATGATGGAGTGGGACAGCAGCTTGGAAAAGTTAGACATCTGGGACATTTTTAACCTCCACCTCATAGGAACCAGCTTGCTGATCCTTATAAAAGAAATTATTAGTTTACATAATTACTGAGTTCAGCTATTTCCAAAATGGTAAAAACATATTTAAAAACAAAAACACTAAAGGTAAAACAAATGCTTTTATTGCACATTTATAAAACCTGCATAGTTACATCAGTTGTTCTTCCCTCCCACCAATCCTCCATTAATCCTTAAAATTTGGTTAAAACACAGTACCCAATCAGGAGGCTTTTAAAAATGGTTACCAGGGGATATTTCTCTCTCTACATATACACACACATATATATATATTTTTTCTTTCTACAAATCCACATCCCATATTTTTTAAAGGAGAGAAGGGATCTAAATGTTCTTTTGGGCCAGCAGAAGCCTTAGACCCATTTTTGACAATTATCAGATGCTAGAAAAATTTACCTAAATGGTTAACAACTACCGAAACACTATCTCGAGTCAAGTTTCACAAGGCTATCCTGTATAAAGTCCTTACGCTTTCCTTTCTTTAACTCAAGACTGAGTATGAGGTTTTCTGGTTTATTTAAAAATGTAAAATAAAAGAGGGAGAAGAAACAGAGAGAGAAACGAAGGAGAGGCAGTATTCTCTTGACTTTTCAGCATCTCACTGCCATGTAGGCCTATTTTCTACCCACGTGTAAAAGGGCAGCAGTTCATCAGCAATCCACTTATGTCATCTCCTGTTAAGAGTCAGGCCAAGTCTACATTTCTAATCTCTTGCAATTAAGAGTTTTTAAATGTCATTAGTATTTGATAAAATAACTAGTAGCTGTTCATCTGATTCAGGTTCTGATGAATCACTTTTCTATTCTGCTGTCAAAAATACTTAGACCTGAAGGATAATTTAAAAAGTGGCAAGGGACTTAGAAAAGCCCAAGCATTCTTGTAGGTACAAAAGGCATTTTAGGTCTTCTGATGTAATTCAGTATCTTAATACACTGGTTCCTGCCTTTTCTAGTAAAATAGTTTTTACAATTCTGTACCTAAAAAGTGCAATTTTATTTTTAATCCTTCTATATACACACAGCATGACTGAGGACTTGATCGGAATCTTGCATGTCCACCTAATCCCTTTCCCAAGGTGAATACTATGACAACGGAATTCTGTGCAACAAGTAGGCAACCAGAGACCAGGATTGGCCTTGAACACGTAGGGGTTTACTTCACTGCCACAGTTGAAACCCCTTGAATTGACTCCATGACAGCTGCAAATCGGCTACAGAGGTCATAAGGAGAATTAGGCCGAATAGTCGGAGGCTCCTTCAGGACAATGATCTCTGCAGAGGGATCAAGAAGTCTTGGCAGAAACTCCCCTAAGCACAGCTGCAGATTTTCTGTGGAGAGAAAGTGGATGATTACATCTACAGCTAAAAAGATCTCCAGGTAAAAAACAGTAAGCCTGAAACTCTCCCAGAAGGCATTCAAAATAGGCCATTACTCAACCTCAGAGGTCAAAGCATTATGCTAGCCAGCTAGCAAGATATAATAATCCCTTCAAGCCAAACCAAGAGCAAAGACCTACTTGACAAATATAACAAAAGCTTTAAGTCACTGCTTTAAGTGATCTGATGTGTGGCAGAATAACACTATATATTCACTTCTTTATGGACAGGTATTCTAATCAACCATCCTTTTAAAATTGCATAAAATAGACATGATACTCTATAACATAAGTATAATAGTGCTATTTTCTGTCAAGCGACCAAAATATATCACTGTCCACGTGGTATAAAGTAATGCTATGACCATACATGGTCTAAATTAAAATTGAAGACATTAAAAAGAAGTAACTACTTGTTATTAGAGAATTATTCAACAAATAAACTCAAATACTTGAACAAGTCAATGGAGTATCTTTATATCAGGGAGAGACAAACAAAGAAAATTCATATTAGAGTATTTTATCTCAATACACCATCTTTCTCAGTCTACCTAACTCACCTAAAGGTAACAACTAGTTTTAGGCTCCCTCCCTGAGATGCTTTGGACAAACAGGGATATTCCATGTAGTAATTTATTAACCTTGATGCTATCATAGTTAAAAATATATTTTTATGTCTTACAACCTGAAGTCACAGGAAAATTTAGTTATGGCATTATCAGGTAACCTACTCTGCATAAGTAGATTTGAATTTTTAAACTCTAAGGAAGTTCAGATTTTGGCAGATGCAAAAGTAAAAGTCTGACATTCCTGGAAAGCAGTGATTTTTTTTTCCAATGGGGCTTGTTGATTATCTGTGGAGGTGCGTCGGCAGCAAAAGCGGAGGTGAACGGCAGCTAAGAGGGACAGTGGTCCAGGTCTAAACCTTAGCTTCAAGAGCAGATCCACTTTTAACTCACTTATATACTGGGGGGTCCTAATGCCTTAAAAGGGTTTGGCAACCAGTGCTATGGAATGAGACCCGCTGTAAAATCTAGAATTCTCAGAAGTGTTAGAAATTAATAGAAGTACTAACAACATACCTGCAATATCTTGCCCAAGATAAGAGCACCAATGGTTTCTCATGACCTCAATGGCATCCAGGTCATCCTTGGAGATGTCGTTGTTAATGATAAGGCGAATGCAGGGAATGATCAACTCATTCATAACACTAATGCCCTCTGTTACAGAGTGGTCATCATTTGTTTCAAAGAGAGAAGCTGCTTTGGCATTCAGCTCCTACAGAAAAACGGCAGAGTGAAAGAAAAGTCTGAACAAGACAAATATCTATTTAAAAAGAGCCTCAACAAGCAGTTCCTAAACTTTACTGCACACTGGAAGTACCTGGGGATCTTTAAAAACTACTGATGCCTGGTTCCCACCACTAGACATGCTGATTTAATTGGTATGGGGTTGACCTGGGTATGGAGATCTTTAAAAGCTCCCAAGGTGATTTGAATGCAACAAAGGCTGGGACCCACTGGCCAAAGCCATTACTCAAAAGTCAAGGTCATGTTTAATACCTATTTCTACCAAAACACTGATTCAATATCAGAATCACCTGCAGAGGAAACACTGATGCCCAGGCTTCTCCCCAGAAAGATTCTGGTTAATTGTCTGGGGAGGGGCCTGAATAGCTACTGACTGACAGCTCTAGGGGTGATTCTGATGTGGCAATTTAAAGAATTTAAATCCCTATTACTGTGTTACTGTGGAAGCTAAGTGGGACATTCAAAATGTAAATATGTGTTTGGTGATTAAAAACAAAAACATGGCTCTAATAAAATTCAGATCCATCAAATCTACAACGAAGGTCCTTTCTCAACTTCAAAGTGGCCCTGCATACCTACCAATACAGAAATCAAAAGTACAAATAAGAAAATGAAGTTCGTGAGCTGAATATATGTCATGATTTTATCTCCTCCACCTGGTATTACCAAGACCAAGGCAGTGGTAGAAATGCTGGCCTGACTTCTCCTATGGAGAATAAATCTGCTGAGTATTAGGGAAAAGACACACAAGCACACACTCTGAAGGCAAATCGCCTCTATACAGTTGTCTGAAGGACAAGCACCTGTATAAACCCTTGGGCAGGCAGAGGGACTATGGGACAGCATTTCCACATGGCTGCCAAAAGCCAAACAGGTCAACGTAGATAGTAAGTCTTCATTGGTATATGACAACGATAGTAACAGAACAGCAGGACCAATTATTATGGTTCATTCCTTATTAAAAAAATTGGAACTTCTTAGAAGTCACTAAAACTCTCATCTACTAGCTTAGCATGGAACCCTAAAAAAATACTGCATTCCTTCAAAACTCATTTATTTGCATGCTTACTGCATGCCAGGCACTGAGGACAGAGCTGAATAAGAAAACAAATCTGTGCTCAAGGAATTCACAGTCTGGCAGGGAAGCAACAGGATAAATGCTATAATGCAAGCATATATAAAGGATAGAGAGAACGGGGTGACTGATTCACATCTTAACTTCTATCATAAACTGAAGAATGATATGCACTTAAAGTAACTTAAAAGAACATATTTCTATGGTAAAATTACTCTTGATAGTTTGGAAGAAGTCTAAAACCTGCTGGAAATAATTATTTCATTTTTTAAGTTACATCTTTTCATGGCTTCAAGGAACAGAGGTAAAGACAACAAAGGAAAAGAAAATAATCTTAAGGCTTAGCAAACAATACAAACCAGAAGGCATTTTCTTCGGTACAGAGCAATCACAGATTCCTTGACCCCCCGGCGGGGCCCCTTCATTAGCAGAGCGGCATTGCTCTGGTAGGCATATACCAGGTATGAAAGTGCCTCTTGGTACCTGAGAAAATGGAAAATAAACAACAGCTGAATGCTCGTTCCTCAAAATCTAGGGTTTAGACCTCACTCTCCCCAATATAAGAATCTACTTGGCTGCAACCATGGAAAAGTCTTAAAAGTGGAAGCAGCAAGGTGCGCTGGGAAAAGCCTGAGGGCCAAAGACTGCAGCCAGTGCCCACTCTGCTACAAACTGGTCGAGAAACAAAGGCAAATCATGAAATTTCCCTGAGCCTGATTTCCTCATGACAAAAACAAACAAGTGAACTAGGTGCTGACTAAGGTCCATGCCAACGCTACAATTTACTCTCTGAGTTCATCTTCATTTATCACAAAGACAATGTGGTGCAGTATACCTCTATAATAATAAACCTATCATTATGGGAAGGAGGAAGAAGCTTGTGTGGTGCTTAGAGCAGAACTGAAGAGAAGCACTGGGAAGGGCAGGTGCACACTGGCTTTTGAGACAAGGGAGGTGGCACACTGCTGTGACTCTTGGTATTTGATAAACTGAGCACCCTGACCAATAATCTTAGTGAAATAAAAGACCAACATACTTTCCTTTTTGATAGAGTTCCAGGCCTGTTAGAAGATACACAGACACCTTTCGAAACAAACTATAATCTTCATGCCACTTCTGGAAAGGAATGACTACTATTAATGATTATGACCACAAAGAACTATTTCTATACCTTCCACTGCAGTAAGTTTTAAATTCAACACAAATATTTATCGAGCACATAAAACAACAAAGGCAAAAGCTTTCAGAAAAAAAACCTATCCACAATTTAGAATACAAGTCTACCTCTGATCTTAATTTCCACGCCCTGTTCCTTCTACAGAGGAACAGAAATATTATTTCACATGAGCTTCAGAATTTATTATCTTAATTTCCAAGTCGAAGGCATTCAGCCCTGGCTTAAAAGAACGGCCTCTCAGGTTCTGACAAAGCCATCCACATGTGAGTAAGATGGAAGGACACGGCAGTTCCAAGTCACACAGAACAAGAAGTGTGCCAGGCATACCATACCTGTACCCGTTGTCATTGAGTTGATTCCAACTCATATTGACCCTACAGGACAGAGGAGAACCGCCCCATAGGGTTTCCACGACTGTAATCTTTACAAAGCATACTACCACATCTTTCTCCCATGGAATGGCTGATGGGTTTGAACAGGCAATCTTTCAATTAGCAGCTGAGTGGTTAACCACTGTACCACCAGGGCTCCCTGGCATGTCACAGGGAGTACATTAGATTATTTTAGGTAGAATGTAGTGATTTTTTAAAAAATTCATAGTTATACATGTATTTCAACACATATTAGCAAACTATAATATTTAAAACAACCCAAAACCATGGTTTCAAGAATTTTATTGCCTAGGATAAGGCTAAAGTGAGTATTTATGGGGAATAAAATATTGATTCATTCTAATAGAAACAAAGAAGTCTCCTATTGTGAGCTTAAGAAAAGATTGTTCATTCCAGTGTTGTTGTTTTTTTTTTTTGCAGTGGGGGGGGAAGGGGTGTGGTTTGCAAGAAAAATATATCAGTCTGTGATAACACAAACTAATTAGTTTTGTCTCAGGTACCACGTGCCTCAGGAATTAATGTTTATGCTCATAAACTCTCCAGAGATTTAAAGAAAAGACTTCACCTTGTACTCGTCCATATTCATGTCATCTGGACCAATTTCCTTCAGTTTAGCTTGCGCCACCTTCATAATACTGATTGATCTGTGGGAGGCAAATTTCAGAAAGCAATGAAAGAGTGCAGTGCAGAACTTCCTCGCCAGACAGAGCAGTCAGCATAGCCGACCACGAGAAAGGGGTGAATCACCTGGGTATCCCCTTCTCACCTTTCATCATAGCTAAGATTTTTATCTGCAAACTGTTCCAAAAGGGTCCGTTCTACTACCCTTTTGGGTGCTTCATTTTGGAAAAAGTAGACAAGGACATGCTGAAGTCGAGGATCACTGTGAGAGGCGGGGGTCTCCTTGGCAAGCTGATACAGCCTGGAGTATTCTTCATGGAATGCCTATTAAAGACAGAACTGATAGTTAGAAAGAGTACACTGAAGAGGGCTTTTGCACAAAGAAATTGATGCCCTAGGGTAACAGGTTCTCACGACTCTGAGACCTCTAAGGAATAAGCCATGAGCAATCACAAGGCAACTATGGAATTTTTAAGTTGTTTGCATTTCAGAGGGGGTGAAGCTCCTCTAGCGTTCTGGTAACAAAGACATACTGTACTCATAAGAAACTCATTTTCTTATTTAGTTTTAATTGTTTCAGGTGTTATCTTCAGTCTCACTGGCCTGAAATTTTAAATATTCACATAAATACAATTTTATCCAAGTACCTTGAAAAGTCTGGCCTACTTCCTTGTATTATGGCCCTGAAACTACAAAGCCAAAATCTCATCACAGCTTTATTAATAGATACCTCCTAACACAACAATCACCCTGCCGGCTAGGTGTGACACAGAATGGCACTGCTAGCCAAGGCTGCCTTGGCGCAGGAGAGGAGGTCCGCTCAGGATTGTGGGATAGCTTGCTCACTGGCTGGACAGGAAAGGGAGAAAGTCAATTTTTTTGTTTCACGTCAATGAACAACATTTTTAATCCCATTTTTTCCCATCTTACAGAATTATCGCCCCAATGTTATGCTACTTCTGTTATAAGGATTAGAATTTGAAAAACAGTGATACCTTGATAAGCCCTGCTTCAGACCCATCCCGGTCAAAGGTCTGGCGGGCTTTAGCTATGGCCAGGATGACCCCTTGCATGGCAGGGCTCAGCATCACCTACCACAGGAAGGCACAAAACATACAGAGAGACAGGACAGAAGAAAGGTTCAAAAGAACACTATGAAAGAGAGGTGAACAGGTTGCTGACAGGACGCATAGCTGTGTGCTCCTTGATCAGCCTCTATTGCAAGTCAAGTTCATACACACATACCTGTATGCACTTACAGCCCTCTACATCATGTTAAGACCTTATTCACAACAAGCTATTCCTATACATTCTCTCTAATTTAGCAGGATGAATAAGGATGTATATCTAAAAATAGCTCCAATATGGCACTGCTGAAGAATCAAGTTAAATTATAGTTCTCAGAGGGAAAGTATCTGAGGTGAGAATTCTAATGCAGTATGGTAGGTTGGGTGTATATCCTGAATACACCAACATTTTCGTTTCACTGAGATGAATAGTACCTTTACAGCAATCTGAAAACTAAAGGCTACACAAATAACTTTATAAAATGAAATCAAAACCTTTCAATGATTAAAAACAAAAAGATTAACTACTGCCAAACACCTTAAAAAAGTATATTCAACCACATGAGAAGGATATACAGACTGACAACAAACAGCTATGCCCTGCACTTGTCTCTGTACCTCCTCATCATATCCATATGCATCAGATCTAACCAGAATCCTTCCCACACTGGGAATCTCGACTTCAGAGACCTCAGAGTTAGGCTGGGCAGCAGACTCTGCTTCATTAGCCTTTTGGGGCTGTTCTGACTGCTCTGCAAGGTTTGTTTCCTGGGGCATGGACTTCTTGGGTTCAGCTTCCTTAAGCTGTGGCAGCAGAATGGAGAGAAAGAGTAAGGAAAAAAAGGAGAAATGAAGAGGGGTTGGTTACATGTAGCAGAGATACAGAATAATAGAAATGTGAGAAAACTGTGGCAATTACTGCTGAAAGCCTGAGCCTCTTCAGTCTGGGCTTCCAAGTCATTCTCACCTCACTCAATGCGGCTTCTACACCACTGTTCTCGTAGGCATGTGCTGTGTTGGCAATAGCCTGGGCAGTCTGCTCCTTGGCAATCACAGCATGCTCAGATGACAAACAGCGAACCCCATGACAAGAGGCTACTGAAGGCTCTGATGAAGAATGGTATAAAGGTATTAGCATCTGATGATAAAAAAAGTCTAGCACACTCTGATAAAAGACAAGCAGGATAAATACAGTTTAATACAAACCCTCCTAACCAAACCTTTAAAAAAAAAAAAAACTACACAAATTACTCCTAGAAACTAATGGCTACAAGAAATGGTTACTTCAGCAAGAACCCACTGATAATTTTGTAAAATTTAATGTGTGCCCTGATTTCATCATATTCCTTTATGCCAAGAAGTCTTCCTACCAACAAAGGATCATTGTTGGGGAACAGTACAGGAAGTGTCCAACTTACGACATATTCGAGTTATGATGAACCCCACTTATGACAGTCTGTGCTGTTCTTTTTTTGGGGGGGTATATTGTATCATTAGTAATATGTAGTATATACAATGTTGCAGTGTGTAATTTGCTGATGTTATTCTCAGATGTTCACTTGCAGATGTTCAACGTTATGATTTATAAAGATACTGATAATAAAAGGCAATAATAATGAAAACTTAAAAAAAAAATGAGGCATTCAACTTACATCAGAACTGACTCACAAAGGAGTTGCTGGAATGTAACCCCATCACAAGTTGGGGACTACTTGTACTCATAAAGTCTACCTATTAATCTTATCATAGTTTCTCCTACAAACCTAGGACACAAGCAAAAACTACATACACAGTGAAAGTACAGGTAGCTAGTCTTTCTGACGTAACTTCTGCTCATCAAAAATCATATTCTAAAACCACAAGTTATTCCATCAGCTTGTACAATACTGACTTTATGTGAAGACTGTGGCATCAGTTAGTCAGCTGAAGTATACACCGTTTGCTTAGGGAGCACATCATGAATGTCCACAGATCACTGGTAAACATACTCTTCTCAGATACCTGGTGATGTAGAGAAATCCTGTGATGTTGAGGTGGTGGAGGATTGCATTTGAGGGATTTTGCAAGACTGCTCTTCTTCCCACTCCTCTACTTCCTGCTCAAACCTCCAGTTATCTTCCTGAATGTAATGCTTAAGTTCAACAGACAGGGCTTCCAATTCTTCTAACATTTGATCTGATTCATTTGTGGCCGTCTCTGAAAAAGAACAAAGACACAGTTAAAATGGCATATCATCCAGCAAAAGATCCTTTCTAAAAAGGAAGAAAAAAAGACATTTTGTCATTTTTCTTCCTTCTAACCAAAAATACATACATACATAAGACATTAGAATTATTAACAGCATAATGCCAGTAGTCACAACACACCAATAAGAGTGCCTGCCTGGCATATCAGTAGGCAGGCACTCATTAAACATCCATTAAATAAATGAAGAATGAATGAAAAATGAATACATGACAGAGTGTAAAGACATGGAATAGAGACCAGTCACTGACAAAAGTAGCAAGGACACATCAAACATTTCTGGGAAATTCAGAAAATCATCACATTCAAAGGGAATTTCAAGCTAAACAGTTTAATCAATTTAACCACTGCACCTATTAATGTCCACTTCATGAGGGTTAGAGATGAATTCCAAGACATTTATTTAAAAAACAAAAACAAAAAACAAAACCTAGTTGCTGTCAAGTCAACTCCGATTCATGGTGACCCTGTGTATGTCAGGTAGAACTGTGCTCCCTAGGGGCTTTTCAATGGCTAATTTTTTGGAAGTAGATCACCAGGTACCTCTGGGTGGACTCCAACCTCCAACCCTTTAGTTAGCAGCTGAGCACATTAACTGTTTGCACCACCCAGGAACTCCTAGGAAAATGTGACTACCTCAAATTTCACACAACTTAGTGCCATCAGAAAACAATTTAATGCAATGATTATATGGTCAATACCAAACCAAAAAAAAACCAAACCCGTTGCCATCGAGTCGATTCTGACTCATAGCGACCCTACAGGACAGAGTAAAACTTTCTCATAGGGTTTCCAAAGAGAAGCTGGTAGATCTGAACTGCTGATCTTTTGGTTAGAAGCCAAATGTTTAACCACTGCGCCACCAGGGCCCCATATGGTCAATAATACTTCTTTATTAAAAGCTATAATGGAATATAATCCAGTAATTCCAATCATAGGTATATTCCCAAAAGAACTGGAAACAGAACAAGTACATGTACAGATACGTGTATGCCAATGTTCACTGCAGCACTATTCACAATAGCCAATGGAAACAACCTAAATGTCCATCAGCAAATGAATGGATGAATAAGATGTGGTACATACATACAATGCAATATTACTCAGCCATAAAGAGAAACAAATTCCTGATACACACTATAACATGGGTGAACCGTGAAAACATTATGATGAGTGAAATAAGTCACAAAAGGCCAAATACTGTGTGATCTCACTTACATGAAATATCTAGACTAGGTAAATTGTAGGGAGACTAAAGTACATTAGTGGTTGTCAAGGGCTAGAGGAAGGGGAGGGAGGCGAAGACTTTGCTTAGAGAGCACTGAGCATCTGTCAAGGATGACGGAAAAATATGGAAATGGATAGTGGTGATGGCTGCACATGGTGAATATAATTACTGTCACTAAATTGTACATGTAAAAAATGTTGACATGACAAATGTTTTGTTATATATACACTTACCACAGTAGTTTTTTTAAAAAAAAAGCTATGATGGAAAATGACAAAGATATCAAGGGGATATTAAATTTCATTTCTAACCCTGTGATCAAAACAAAAATGAGGATGAATTACTGTTAAGTGATCATTCTCTTCAACCTGCACCTGTCAACTACACGAGCAAATCAGAAAGAAAAATGCCTTAGGTGGGTAATACGGGATTGTTTTCTTACTTAGGCAACACAGTAACATTTGAATACTGAAAAAAAAGCTTCCTAGGATCTTAAATGTGAAACGCTGGTCAGTCATAAGACTTCTCACAGAAGATGAGAGAGGAAGAGACAGAAAAATGGAAACTGAAAACAGCATAGAATTTTGAGTCAGAACTGAGTTTGAATCTTGGGCCTGCCTGCTCTGAGACTGCACAACTGGAGAATCTCTCAGAGCCTACTGCCCAGCTAGAAAGTGTAGATAATAAGAATTTCTGCCCTGCCTACCTCCTTTGGGAGTTATAAGTTATTAGAGAAACAGTGCGAAAGCATGCTGTAAGGAGTAAAGTATAGATACAGATGATACTTATAATTGTTCTTAGCATTAATAGTAGTACTATGAGGAGTATGGAATCATTCAGGCAAATCCACTTTTAAAATTTGGCTAGTCTCCAAAGTGTGCAAAAATGTGTGAAAAAGGATGTCAACAAGAAAGCAAAAAACTAGAGACAATTTAAATGTCTATCAATGGGAGGCTAGTTAAATAAACGATAGTATATCCATGCAATGGAATTATTATACCGTTATTAAAAAGAATGAGTCAGTTCCATTTATGAAAATACAGAGATTGCTAAGATATGTGATTAATGGGAAAAAATTAGATGCAGAACAGAATGTAAAAATATCTCATATGGGCAAAAAATAAGGGGAGGGAGATAAAAATAAATAAAATCTACTATCTGCATAGGATAGCTCTTGAAGACTACATAAGAAACCTAACAGTGAATACTTGTTGGAGAGTGGGACCAGGGATCAGGGATGGAAGGAAGGCAAACTTAATTTTCCTTTTAATTCCCCTTTGTACTATTAGTGTTTCTGAAATGCAATATTTCTTTATAATAATAATAATAATAAGTATAGTTTACATTTTCCCATATTCAGGGTTCTACTAAGATATTTACCTGCACTGAAGTGGGGTAGCTTGTCATTAATGTACATCAGACAGTAAGCACTAACATTTCTCAGACCTCCATAAGAATCTCTTTCAAGTTCTTCCCAGGAAGATTCGGTTACAGAGATGTCATTGTACTTGAGCCAGATTTGTCGGGGTTGATTATAGATATAGGCCCAGTAGTGTCCAGCATTTGCTTGTCCTTCATGAACAAGAACTGCATGCAAGCGGTAAGGCACCTGCAAATCAAAAGGTATATTCCTAAGTAAGCAAGTATCTAATAAAGTTTAGGTTATTAAAGTCAAAATTATTCCCAACCATCAGATATAGGAAAACTGACTATTTACAAGTGTTGGATATGAGGTTCACATCAAAATACCTTGTTGATTCAAGATGAACTAACTAATAAAAACAAAGCAATCTAGGCTACTGGAATCTATCACTATGTCTCAGTTCCCGAATCTTTAAAACCATACAGTTGAACTAGATGACCTCTTTGAGGACTCTTCCAATTCTAAACTCCTATGATTATACATCTGAAAAAGAAGCTAACCGACCTATTTACTGCTCCCTACCCTCAATTCCAAACTCAGTTTATTTCAAAAACAGAATACCTTGACCACTCACTTTGAGAAAATGTTTAACATATTTGGGACCGACAAGTTTAGCAGCTATCTTGTTCTATGCCTATTATATTTGGTACTAAAATTTAAGTTAGCATATTTCATTATGAATCAGTCACATGCTCCCTATATTTCTTCTTGTGAGTGTTTATTTACCTATCTGGGGTAAAGACCCTTTTAACTACATATTGTTTGTTTTAATATTTGAAAAGTATATACATATTTTCAATATGGAGAAAACAGAGCTATGCTTAAGTGCTCAGTAAATATTGGTGAAAGAAGAAAACTCATCATAAAATCAAACTAAACTTAATCAGTACCTTGGCACATTTTTACTGGTGGTGAAGATTTCTGAAATGTAACACATAAGAGAAAATGGAAAAACCCAGGATACATATGGTGGGTTCCTGCTCTACACAAGAATTGTGCCTCACTGCCATTCTAGAAGCAAAGCTCTACTCCTACAGCGATTCTCTCCATCCACACAAAAGTCAGTGACTAAGTCGTATCCTGAGGCAGAGGCTTTTTCCCTCCATACCCACGTTAATCTAAACAAAAACTTAAATGTGGATAATAAGAACTTCCGCCCTGGCTACGTCTCTTGTGAAGTCATAAGTTATTCGAGAAATAAAGCTTGAAAGCATGCTGCTAAATGATGGATTAAGAAGGATCATGGTCCTTTGGAAAAGATGAACAACCTAGTTCTGGTTTTCCCCACTGCACCACTTAAATTACCATTTTGTGAGAAATTTTTATTAACATTTGACAGCATACCTTTCTACTGTATGAAAAAACACTGTGTGACAGAATTATATTTTAGGTTCTATTGTTGGTAAAAGATATACTGCTTTCTTTGGCCTAAAATAAAGAAACTAAACAACATCCATTCTATTTAAGCTTATTCTTATATCACAGGGAGATTCCCAATAGTTTCACAGAAAAATTATCAATTTTTTTTTTTTTTTGTATCTACTACTATTAGCACCATTCGAACATGCCTTGACTACTTTCCCATCAATTTGCATTCTACCTGACGAAGGAGAGGATCACAATACATCTGCTCAATAGTCTGGGTACTGCTTGCAATACAATTCTTTAAGTCTGTTAAAAAAGAATACTTAAAGTTAGAATTACTTCATTCCCTGTCATATCGGCAACTTCAATTAAGCAAAGAGTAAGTTGCTTATCTGTAACCAGGCTTCTGATGATTTCAATTTCACTGTATGAACCAAGAAGGCCTTGATAGTTTTAAAGCAGCTAGTCCTTCAGGTTAAGAAGGCTTTTAGTTTAAGATAATTACACTGAGGTTTAAAAAAAAAAAATTATCTTTTACATCTAGCACCAAAATTTCTTAAAGAGGGAACTATTCCAGAAGACCTTAATGGGTCACGTGGGTATAAAATATATGGCCCAAAGACAGGATGTGAAGGGAGAAGAGCAAGAAGTGGGCAAAATTTCTGAGTAAGAATGTGGGAGGAATCTGGATTTTTATTCATTTTTTGCTCCATAGACAAAAGGAGTAAGGAAGGAGAGGTTTAGTCTGAGCAATATGGCAATGATGCAAAGGACTTTTAGGAATAAAATGCTGACTAATTTAATTTTACATTGTTTGTATTGCTCAAACATCCTCTGCCTCATGAACCTTCAGTAAAGCATGCTTTGTATAGAAACAACCTTAAAAATAGAAATACAGGAAAGCTAAATTTTAAAGCTGGGTCAAGTGAAGTCAGGGTTGAGATAAACAGCTAACTGAACAGAAATCAGCAAAGGCTGAAAAATCCTAGCCAAAGGTGACCTTGAGAACCTGAGCTTCCCAGGAATCCCCAGAAATCTTGAGGGCCTTTCTTTCCACAGCTGTACAACGAGGGCGTGAACCAATCTTATGAAAAGTACAAAAGCAGTCATAATTACCCTTAAGGCAATGGCAGGAAGTATGCCCAAGGTGCTGACCTCCAGAGAGTCAAACAAACAAAAAAAGAGGCAAAGAGTAACTACTTGACATGTTTTAAAAGAGCCAACCTTGTATATCTTGTTCGATCTCACTCCTCCACCTCTGAAGGCAGGTCTTAACAAAGTTCATCTCCTCATCTGTGACTGTTCGAGGAGCTGGGTGTGCAGGCATTTCCATGGAAGACCGAGAAGATGTGAGCGGCTTACTCTTAGACTTGTGTAGAGAATCTTCAGGAGAAGAAAAGGTACTTTCAACATCCTGAGAAGAGCTTTCTGTACTTGTACTGAAGGAAGACAAAAACCATGCTCATATGATAAGGGATAGCTTTGGCTTAAATTAATGTACTTTGGAAAACTAGCTGTTCTATCAAAAAGTACAGCTATTATTCAGCATTTACTCTGTAAAGTACTGAGCAAAACTTCATCTTTATATGCATCATCTCATTTAACTCAACTTGCTTATGACGCAGATACTGTTACTATCCCCACTTTACCAACTATAAACCTGAGGTTTGTAAAAAGTAAGAACCTGACACAGAAGAATTTAAACTCAGATCTGCCTGACTCTGTGCTTCATGTTTTCCAACCACTTACTATACCACCTTCTCACAAAGAGAGGACAAGAAGGCAGATAAAAAAGGGGAAACTGGGACTGGAACAATCAAAGAATCAACTACAGAGTTCCCAAAATGCAACCGACTGAAGTAAAACTATCTATCCAGGAACAAAGTATACACAAGCAGAAAAATGAAGTAGCAGCTGAATATCCAACTCAGCAGTAAAAACTAGGTGGCACCTTGGAAGAGAACAGAGAGCATGATTTAAAAGTCAGAAAGTCCCAGCTCTACCCAAACCTGTTGCTGTGGAGTTGATTCCAGCTCATAGTTACCCTACCGGACACAGTAGAACTGCCCCACAGGGTTTCCAAGGTTGTAATCTTTATGGAAGCAGACTGCCAATCTTTCTCTGGTGGAGCAGATGGTAGGTTCGAACCGCCCAGCTATTGGTTAGCAGGTGAGCCCTTAACCACTGTGCAACCAGGACTCTCCACCCCTACCCCCCAACCAGGCTCCACCACTCCTAGCTAAATACAGGGAAAAACAGGGAAAAGTTATTAGCCTCAGGTAGGTGATCTGATATCTTAACCACAAAATCTCCATCTTTGTTGTAAACTAACTGAGAATAAAGTTACTATGTAAAACAGCTATTCAGTAAATGTTAATTACTTACTAATTAACTATTGTCAAACAGAGTACAAACAGCACATAGACAAACAAGCAGGAATATAAAATAAGCTTCTAATTCTCTCTCTCCCTCTCTCTCTCTCTCACACACACACACACACACACACACACACACACACAAACACAAAAGGAAACCTCTTTTCTCCAAGAACGAATAAACCCAATATATGCAGTAGAGAGGACACCTCAATCTCAGAAGGGACTGCACAGCACCCACACATACACACCCTAACTTTAAAAGTCTAATAATGTCAGGCAGTTCTATTTTATGCAATTAAATAGCCTGCCCCCCAAAATTAAAAACATTTATTTTACACAAAATACATTATATCACGATTTTAAAAAAGTCAAAGAATCCCCCCACCCCCACTCCCAGACTCATGCCACTCCCTAGAGATAATTGTTCTTAACATTTAGTACGTTCCACCCAGATATGTGGTCCCTAGATGTCATTTTGTGCTGACTGCTAACCTATAGGTTGGTGATTTGAATCCACCCTGCAGTACCTCGGAATAAAAGGCCTGGGATCTGCTTCCGTTTAGATTACAGCCAAGAAAACACTATGAAGCAGTTCTACTCTGTAACACATGGGATCCCCATGAGTTGGAATCGACTCCACAGCAATTAATAACAACAACCCAGATACGTATTTCCATGTACCCATGAATGAATAAAATATTAACATGTAGGGATGGGGGCAGGGAGAATGGCTAGGTTTCTTAACATATGAAAACATTTTTATTCATTACCTTTCCTTGGATGTCAGGTCAGAAACTGGAGAGTGCACAGAAGAAAGTGGTAATGTCACCCGTGTGTCACTTGGAGATGGAGAGCTCTCTGAGGCAGGTTTTGTACTAGCAAATTCAATAACATATTTCAACATGTCCGGGAGTGGGAACCGAGCTGGACCCGACCCGTACTTCACATACCTAAGAAGTAAGGACAGTGGTCCTTTACTGGCCAAGTCTATTTGTATTGTGAGGCTTGCTGACAAAGATCTGTTATCCATGGAGAGTCTATTAAAAGGCTCATTCCTAAAGGATGATCAATACTTAATAGGTTACTCAAATAATCTACAAGGTAAAAACTTCTCTAACTACAAAAGTAAAAACTGATAACAATTGTTATAGCTAGCAGAAAACATTTCAAATGGGCTCCTAATCAAAGTCATGCCAGTTATGCCTGATATCACATTTAGTTTCTGGCCCTAAAAATAAATTCTGTTTTTTGAAGAAAAACAGATACAAGTACCCAAACCTGAAAATAATGCTGGGTGTCCTAGCATCCAAGGGGTTTTTCTTTGCTGCCCTTTAGACCAACTATTTTGCAATTTAGATAAATTAGAAAAAGCTAGAAATGGGAATTAGGTGTTGGTAAAGGTCAAAGTTTAAGAAAATTGGCAGATTTTTCTTCTCTAGGGTCCTCAGTACCTTATTTAGTCACACATTCATTCAATAACAAAAGCCAGGCATAAGTGATTGAAGATTTCTTTGGGATTAGTAAATAGTATCTTCAAGTATGTGACCAAAATAATTAACAAATTACCTTAAAAATATCCAATATTTATCCAATATATTTATCCAATATCTAGCACATGTTAGACTCAGTAAGAGATTTACTTTAATGAATTTTATAGTTCACTATAATATATACACAGAGTTTAAATTGTACAATCATCAAACTGACTGTACAATAATCCCCATAATTGTGGGATTCCATTTTATTTTAAAAAATGGAGTCATTTCATATTTTTCTTCTCTGAATAAAGTGGAAAAAAGCAGTAAGTACAGAACTAAGGAAAATCATCTGTTTCTATATAAGAAAGGACATTATGAAATGAAAATATTAGTGAAAAATAAAGTATAATGCAACACAAAGTCAACCACACGTTAAAGGATATATAGCAAAGGCACTTCAGTGTGCAAATTTAAAGGGGAAATAGAATTTGCATGCCACAGAAAGCTACAGACTTTATTTAAAAAGATCTTGAATATGTAAAGACAGAGGAACCTTAGAGAAATGTTTTATTCCTTGAATGTATTTCTCGCCTTCATTTCAGCAATTATCAGCTTACAAACTCTACTTATCCTTCTAGATCTACTTTCTCTACGACATCTTCCTTAATATCTCATCCTCCAAATGCTGACAAGAACATCTCCCCACCTGAATATAGAAATGAACCCTTCCTGTCTATGCCATAGCACACAGTTGATATATCTTTTTAAGCACTCGGTGTTTGTTAAATGAATTAATACGTGACTAGCCTGGACCAAAGGAAACATTCTCTTACTGCAGTAATTTCATATGCAACACAGTATTTATAATGCCATAGATTTTAAGTCATCATTTTACAACTGTAATTATGCTCAGATTTGTTGCATTTTAATATGATACTTAAATTACTTCTCAGGAAGAATTTTTCTCTAAGAAACTTCTCTTCAATTTTATGACATCATTTTCCCGTTCTTGTATTGACTTGAATTCCTTTAGACAACTTTTAGAAGCAACTACTTCATACAATGTAGTACCTGTATTAGTTAGTAGTTCAGAGCAAAAAAGGTTTCAAAAAAGATGTCTACATGGTAAATAGGAAATCTTATTTTCAGTATTATATCAAGGTATCTTAGAGAAGAAACAGTAATATCTTTATTTTTAAAATGATTAAAAGTAATGCATCCATCTGGTAAGAAAATTCAAACAACACAAGAAGTATACAGCAAACCATAAAAGTTATCTACCTCCCACCTCGGTTCTACTACCTAATGGTATCCAGTAGCAGTTTCTTATATATTTTCCCAGAAGTGGGTCACACATATCCAAGCAGATACATGTACCCTTTTACAAAAATACACAAATAAAATTATCTGAGATTTTAAGTCACTTTATTTTAAAAACAAAAATAATATCATGCTATAGGAAATGCTTTTATATCCATTTTAAAATCCAACTAACCCAGAATGCCTTGTTAGTTACTGGTGAACTAAGTATTTCTGAGCTATGAAACATCAGGTATGTTTGATTCTATAGAAACAACCGACAATTTCCAGCCTTACAAACTGTAACAAAAACCTTAAAATACTGTCCCATTTGGAATCCTGCACATCACCTGCAGAACAGTATTTGAGGAATCACTCCTCAGCTTAAATCTATAATAAGACAAATGGATAAATGGTCACAATATATCTTGTTAAGTACTTACTGAGTGAGAGGATGCTGAGGAGAAAAAAAAAAAAAGCAACTGATCTGTGGTGGGCCTGCTATGGAAAGTGTTGTGTCTCAGGGAAAATAATGACCTAGCAATGCAGTGGGTGGAAGGGGGTTGTGGCAGCAAAACTGTTAAGGGAGAAAAAGGCATTGACAGTATTTAGGATTTCCTTACCTGCTAAATTACTGGACTCTACCTAGACTAGAAAGAAATCACATGGATTCCTCCTTAGGAAGTCAGTGTGATTCTGCAGAAATAGTCAGTTTAAAAAAAAAGGCACAAAGATTTCTTTGTAAGAGAAAGGACTTTGTGTGTATCCCAATCAGTTATTAGCCCTTTGAATCAGTTAGCACTGTTCTCAGTTGAACAATTTTGCTTTTTATCTCTCCCAGACACTTCAGAACCAGCTTTTCCAGGAGAAATGGATTGGGGCAATGTAACAGTTACTACTCGTGTTTGTGAAAAAGATGACAAGAGTAGAAAAAGTAAAGAGCTATGAAATCAGAACTTGGGTTTTCCAGAGTACTGCCAATAACTACCTGTGTGACTTTGGGTCATACATTCCCTGAGACTAATGTTTGCCCATGGACGATATTAGCTGATCTTGAAGACTGCTTCATTCTTAGAAATTTTTTTCAGTTGACACTTGAACTCTGAATTAATTATAAAATATAATAAAATTATCTGATTTGAATACTCCACTCTTTTACATTTCTAGGCACAAAGGTGTCAATGATGACTCACCTGTCCAGTTTTTGCTGCAGAACTTTTATTTCCTCCTTCAACTTTCGAATACACTCTCTCTTATTTCGGATAAGCTCTTTGCTCCTATACATGTACCTAGGCAAATAATAATCCCAAACACACAATTCATATTTAAGAATATTAATGGCAAAATGTCTCAGAAAACTAGGAATACAAGGAAAGTTCCTCAACCAAATAAAGGTCATTTATGAAAAAGTTACAGCTAACAACAACACTTAATGGTGAAAGATGACCCCTAAGAGCAGGATCAGGCAAGGATGCTGGCTCTCACCATGTCCATTGAACTGAAGGTACAGCCAGTGCAATAGGTGAGAAAAAGAAATGAAAGCATACAGATTGTAAAGGAAGAAGTAAAACTGCCTTTAGATACAGATGGCATGATCATCTTTATAGAAATTCCCAAGGAATCTACAAAAAGTCAAAGAACTAATAAATACATTTAGCGAGGTCAAAAAATATGAACTCAACAAAAAAAAGGAGATAAAGAAAAAATGAACTGCATTTCTACATATTTTTAACAAGCAACCGGAAAGTAAAACTAAAAACATACCATTATAATTTAACAACAAAAATATGAATTATTTAGGGATAAATTTAATTAAATATGCAAAAGACATGTACACCAAAAATTACAATAATACTTAAATAAATGGAGCTATATTATGTCCACGGATTGAAGGACTCACTACTGTTAAGATGTCAACTCTCCCTAAACTGATCTATAGGTTCAATGTAATTCCAACAAAAATCCCAACAGCTGTTTCATAGAAAACTAACAAGTTATATAGATATGCAAAGAACCTAGAACAGCCAAACCAATTTGGAAACAGAACAAGTTGGAGGATTCACACTATCTGATTTCAAAGTTTACAATAAAGCTACAGTAATCAAGACAATGTAGGACTGGCATAAGAATAGACATAAAGAACAATTGAAGAAAACAGTCCAGAGACAGACCCACAAATATATGTTCAACTAATTTTTGACAAAAGTGCCAAGGTAATTCAAAAGGAGAAAGAAGTGTCTTTTCAACAAACAGCACCGGAGAAACTGGAATTCCATGTACCCCCACCCCTCACACACAAAAAAAACCTTTATCTCCATCATATGTAAAAATAAACTCTAAATGGGTCACAAACCTAACTATGAGCTAAAACCACAAAGGTTCTAGAAAAATAAATGAGAAAATCTTTATGCTCTTGGGTTGGCAAAGATTTCTCAACTAGATTAGAAAAAGTACAAATCATAAAAAAAATGACACTAGATTTCATTAAAACTAAAAGTATATGCTCTTCTAAAGACACTGGTAAGGAAATGAGACAAACCACAGAGAAAATATCTGCAAGACACATATCTGATAAAAGACTTGTATATAAATTACATAAAAGAATTCTTACAACTCAGTATGAAGACAACCAACCCAATTAAAAAGTGAAACAAAAGATTTGAACAGACACTTCACCAAGGAAAATGTATGAATGTTCATTAAGTACGTGAAAAGATGTTCAACATCAACAGTTATCAGGGAAATGCAAATTAAAATGATATACTGTTACACACTCACTGTTGTTGTCATTAGGTGCCAGCAGAGTCGGTTCTGACTCATAGCGACCCTATGAACAAAACACTTCCACATCCTGTGCCATCCTCACAGTCATTGCTATATTTGAGTCCATTGCTACAGCCACTGTGTCAATCCCTCTCCTTGAAGGTCTTCCTCTTTTCAATGACTTTCTACTTTACCAAGCATGATGTCCTTCTCCAGGGATCAGTCCCTCCTCATAATATGTCCAAAATAAGAGAGATGAGTCTCGCCATTCTTGCTTCTAAGGTGCATTCTGGCTGCACGTCTTTCAAGGCAGATTTGTTCATTCTTCTGGCAGTCACAGTATATTCAATATTCTTCATCAACACATTCATTCAAAGGCATCAATTCTTTTTCAGTCTGCCTTATTCACTGTCCAGCTTTCACGTGCATATGAGGTGACTGAAAACACCATGGCTTGGGTCAGGTGCGCCTTAGTCCTCAAAGTGACATTTTTGCTTTTTAACACCTAAAGTGGTCTTTTGCAGCAAATCTGCCCAATGCGATGTGTTTTTAGATTACTTGACTGCTGCTTCTATGGACGGTGATTGTGGATCCAAGTAAAATGAAATCCTTGACAAATTCAATCTTTTCTCCATTAATCATGATGTTGCTTACTGGTCCAGTTGTGAGGATTTCGGTTTTCTTTATGTTGAGGTGCAATCCATACTGAAGGATGTAGCATTTGATCTTCATCAGCAAGTGCTTCAAGTCCTCTTCATTTTCAGCAAGCAAGGTTGTGTTATCTGCATAACATAGATTGTTAATGAGTCATCCTCCAATCCTGATGCCTTGTTCTTCTTCATATAGTCCAGCTTCTGAGACTATTTGCTCAGTATACAGATTGAATAAGTATGGTGAAAGAATACAGCCCTGATGCACATCCTTCTTGACTTTAAACCACGCAGTATACCCCTGTCCTGTTCAAAGGACTGCCTCTTGGTCTACGTTCAGGCTTCTAACGAGCAGAATTAAATGTTCTGGAATTCCCATTCTTCGCAATGTTATCCATAATTTGTTATGATCCACATAGTCAAGTGCCTTTGTACAGTCAATAAAACAGAGGTAAACATCTTTCTCATATTCTCTGCTTTCAGCCAATATCCATCTGACATCACCAGTGATATCCCTGGTTCCACATCCTCTTCTGAATCCGGTTTGAATTTCTGGCAGTTTCCTGTTGATGTACTGCTATAATTGCTTTTGAACAGCAAAATTTTATTTGTGTGTGATATTAATGATGTTGTTTAATAATTTCTGCATTCTGTAGGATTACCTTTCTTTAGAATGGGCACAAATATGGATCTCTTCCAGTCAGATGGTCAGGTAGCTGTCATCCAAATTTCTTGGCATAGACAAGTAAGTACCTCCAGCACTGCATCCGTTTGTTGAAACATCTCAATTCGTATTCCGTCAATACCTGGAGCCTTTGTTTTTCACCAATGCCTTCAGTGCAGCTTGGACTTCTTCCTTCAGTACCAT